GACAGGCATTTTGGGTTTTCATGAGCTGTATGCCATAATCATCAGTATTAAAACAATTAAAGACCTGAAATATTTCAGTTGGTGTGCAATGAATCTGAAATATATGAAAGTTTCATTTTTATCATTACATTATGGAAAATAATGACCTTTATCACAATATGCTAATTTTTTTAGAAGGACCTGTATATATATATGTATGTGTGTGTGTGTGTGTGTGTGTGTGTGTGTTTTAAATCCTTCCCACATTCTTGCAATATTCTAAACAATGTTTCTAAACTCTAAACGCTCTAAAAGAGCACAGGATGTCATGATTTCAGCTCTCTGCCTCGGCTGCTCTCCACCACCTGCCAGTGCTCTCGGCCACGCCCACTTCTCCACTACAGAGCGGAGATATGGCACAGCTGCAGGAGGAAGCTGTATGCACTGCACAGCTGCAGGAGGAAGCTTCCTCCTGCAGCTGCGCAGCAGGTGCTAAATAATTTAAAATAATTTATTTTAAGTAAAAATTCCATGCCGATCGTGCAGCTCATCCATCAATCAGCCACTTGCGTGTCATGCCCAATCGTACATTGAAAAACTGCGATAGAGCGAGTCTATGAAAAACGAACCATGAAGTAGTGATTGTACTACTATATAAATAATAAATCTTCGTCATACACCAAAGTTAGTCATGGAGTTCCTCAGGGTTCAGTGACTGGACCAATACTCTTTACCTTATGCTTCCGTTAGATAAATTTATTAAAACAGCATGGGATAAACAAAAACAAAAGTTAAATCATTTCATCTGGACCAGTTTCTTTAAGGGAGAAACTTTTTGTCTTCCATCTGGAAGACTTCATCAGTCTGTGGCCTGCCAACCAGGTCAGAGCATGGGATAAATTTTCGTTGTTATGCTGATGATGTGCAGTTATATTTGTCCTTGAAACCCAATGAATCCAATCAGCTACTTAAGTTACAAGAATGTCTTAAAGACATAAAAACCCTTAATGACCCTTAATTTTCTGCTTTTAAACTCAGACAAGACAAGGTTGTGGTTTTTGGACGTGAGCACCTTAAGAATACATTTTGCAGACTTTCACATTCTCTGGATGGCATTAATTTGGCCTCCAGTTCTAAAGTTAAAAATCTTGATGTTACTTTTGATCAGGATTTGTCTAACCCTCATATTAAAATATTACAAAACCTGCTTTCTTCCACCTCCGTAATATCACTAACATCTTGTCCAAAAATGATGCAGAAAACCTGGTTCATGCATTTATGACATCTAGGCTGGACTATTGCAATTGTTTACTATATGGGTGTCCACAAACTTTGTTAAAGTCTTCAGCTGATCCAAAATGCTGCTGCCAGAGTTTTAACGAGCTGATAGATCATATTTCTCAGTTTTAGCTTCTCTCCATTGGCTCCCTATCAAATTCTGAATAGAATTCAAAATCTTACTTCTAACCTTCCAACCTTAAGCTCTTAACAACCTGGCTCCATCTTATATTTGAGATCTTATTGTTCCATATTTTCCTAACAGAGCACTCAGACTGCAGGTTTACTTGTGGTTCCTGTTTCCAAAAGCAGAATGGGAGGCAGAGCTTTCAGTTATCAGGCTCCTCTCTTGTGGAGCCAACACTTCAAGTTTCTGTCCATAAGGCTGACTCATTGTCCAGTTTTAAGACTTTCCTTTTTGATAATTAGGGTTGGCTTGGGTTTCCCGAGCTATCCCTTAGTTACGCTGCTATAGGCTTAGACCACTGGAGGACAAACTGACTACATTTCTTCACAATGCTACTGTCTTTACTTACTCTACCTGTTTTGTATTTATGGTTATTTTTTCTATCCTTGACATGCGTTTTGTCTTTCTTCCAATAGGAGGTACACCTGCACTGACATCTGGACCTGCCATTCTGTGTTCGTTGTCTCTCCTTCCTGTTCCTCTAAAACCCAGCTGGTCAAAGCAGACGGCCGCTTGTACTGAGCCTGGTTCTGCTCTAGGTTTCTTTTAGTTTTTCCTTTCCACTGTTGCCGTTGTGCTTGCTCAGGGTGAGAGAATGTAGTTAAGATTCAACAAGTCTGCTTGTTTCGTTAGAGAACTTTACTAATTGGCTTTTCTATGTATGTGAATGTTTCTGTTCAGTGCTGAGAACTTTGTTGTGATTTGGTGCTATAAAAATTGAATATCCAGCCGTTTTCACACCAGGAATTTCAACCATGTGACCAGTGTCTCCTTTGTGTCAGACACCAAAGACCCTAACCCCTACTGTGAGTAGTGATAGGGCAAACTGCATGTGTATCTAGCTTAGCGCAGCTTTAGAACTCGAACCCCACACTCTGTTCTTTGAATAGAGAAAGCTCCTCAGATGAGAAGTGCAACGACTCGTAACAAATAAAGTCCAGTTGATTTGTCTTGAACTTTGACTAATTTCCCATAAGATCCTTAGTCTAAAATGGCAAGTAGGTGATTTGAATTTCTTCAACAAAAGCTAGGCCTTTATTTTCATGCACTGTAATTTCAGCCCAATTGTTTTTTCCACAAGGTGCAGTTTCCAATAATTTTTTGAAATTCCAATTCACTAATTTGAATAACACAAATATATGCAAGTTCTCTTCAGCATATCTTGCTTATACAAAATCTTTTTTTTTTTCCTCATTTGCTGGTTTTATCATGCACTTTGGAGACAAACTTCCTACTAAAGCAGGAAGTAGATTTTAAATAGTCTGAACTTAAAACTTTTTTTTTTGCAAGCTTAGATATGGTCAAGGCCTGTTTTATATAAACAATCTGAAACTTCAGTTTAGTTTTAAATTTAAAATTATATTTTTTCAATGAGTCTGGAAATAAGTTTCCATACTGAAAACCTGTAAAATACTAAAACCAAGTTCCATACTTCCAAATACGTGTATAAAAACATCATGCAAGGTCAGAATGTGGCTCAGAACAGAAGCAACATATCAGCTTTACTTCTGGTTGGAGTGCTTTTTATTTTATGTCTGTAAACAAGACGTGTAATTCGTGGCATCTGAAATCGTTTTTGTGACGGAAAAATCTCAAAAAAAAAAAAAAAAAGACAAATATTGCAAATGTTTTATTTAATTTTCAATCCTGGACATATTTGACAAAGTCTGGAGATCATGGATGCCAAAATATCCTTTAAGAAGGTGCCATTAAAAGTCATTCCTTGCCGGGGCAGCAGATACAAATCCAATTTCTAAGTAGTAACAGATCAGATATTGATTTTTATGGCACAAAATACACAAGTTATTCTCAGAAAATTTTCACAAGACAACTTACAAATGTTCTTATTCCAACCAACACCATTTTCAAATATGTTTAGTGTACACAGCATTGTTTTAAATAGATTATTTTTTAAAGTACCATACTATGACAAATTGAGAATACACCTTTGATGAGTAAAAGCACAAGGCAAATAATTCCAAGGAGTTGGAGCAGCCTCAGTTTACTGCTGGAAAACGACACCGTCATTTCAGGAACCAGTGAAGTTAGACTAACCAAACATGATTAAACCTTTTAGTGTTGACGTCTACAGAAGCCGTTGCATGTTGTACAGCCGTTTGAAGCCATCGCAATGATTTACGGTCAACAGCGCGTGTACAAAAAGCTGAAGTAACTCTGGGAACCCGCTGAATGGAAATTGGTCCAAGTGCGGAGGGCGAACTTACAAGTGATTTACAGGAAGGACAGAAAAATTAAAAGACTGATTCGTTGCGATTTAAAGAAAACAAAAACATATGACTAGTGTGTTGCAGCCGTCAGATGGACTGTCCACTTAGGCTTCAAGAAAGGATCAACTTCAGTAATGATCTCGTTTTGTATTCACAACCAAACACCACAAACTTTTTAGACCCCATTCAACAACAAAATCATGTGGAGAGGGTAAAATGATTGCTGGTAAAAAGGCGTACATACTTATTGGAGGGAGTCGACAAGGGAGGGAGACGACGAAAACGAAAGAAAAATGTGTGTCGCCAGGCTTGGAGCTGACGCCCCAGTTGGACTAATAATGACAAAAAGGCAAAACATTACAATCAGGAACCACCGTTACACTTGTTCTCCCTCTACAAGCCAGCTGATTTTAATAAGGCCAGTCCAAATCTAACGTTTTTATGTAACTTAGCTATTTTTTTAACACTTCTGGTTAATAAACATCTCAATGTACATACTATAACTGTAGTGTCAAAACCATGAGAAGCACACTGGTAAAGCGGGCCAGCAGAGAGCAGAGTATGAAAGCAGACTGGGTAAGCAGTAATACTGTGTACCACCTTATCCCAGCTGTAGTGTGAGCACAACGTTGTGAGGGGCGTGGGCCGCTTGGATGATGAACGGTGATGCGGTTGCTTAGTATCCAGACTTCCTCAGGTAATCAGTCATTCCATGTGCTTTCTTGTTAAGAGTTCCACCATGGACCGCCTCCTTTCCCATGACTAAAACCAATACTGGAGCACACAAGGGGGGGAAAAATAAAATAAAATAAAGAGCAATGAACAAAACTGAAGAGCGTTCCCCCACTCCCGCGCAGGATGAAATGGGTGAGGGGGGAAAACAAAAAAGGTGACTGCATCTTACCACTCTTCATTGCTATTAAAAGTTTCCAAGACATTTGACTGCTTGTAGGAGAAATCTTTAACAGCAATACTCATTTTCTCTTCTTGTCCCTCAATTGTATAAGAGACCGTGAAAACTTTAAAACCCTGAATCCCTCAAGTATTTTGCCATTGAGTAAGCCTTCTTATTCAAGCCGCCTCCATGGACCCCTTCTTTGCCCATTACAAGAACCAAAACTGGAAGAGAAGAGATGGGGAAAAAAAAGGGGGGGATAGTTAAAGACAAAAAAAGGAAAAGCATTTCAAGCAGGAAACGTGTAGTAAAAAGTGTAAATTCAACTGAAACGTTAAGACTTATAAAACCGTAGGAATTTTTGTTGCAGTATAGCTCGACTTAATATCACCTCACATTTCATATGAAAGACTTAACAGTATTTTACTCTTAACTAGGAGTGATGGATGAATATCCAACATTCTTCCAGCCCAACATCATTTCTGGGTATGATTTTATTTAAACAAGAGTCTCGTGAAGAGAGAGTTTTTAACTATTAAAAACAGCAGAAACTGAAACTAGTGACTCAATGAATGTATTAAAATTAAAAAAAAAAATAAAAACTTAGCATCCCAAATCATTCTGTCAAACCTAAAAATAAAGTGCACACATTTATACGGTTTTGTGCCGACTAACATCTCAGTGGGTGGGTCGGGGGTGTTGCAGGTTAAAGTTGAATGCTTGTAGACGTGCAGAGAAGAGACTCAGAAAAAGGAAATGTCAGAAAGGTAAAATGATTGTTTGTTTTGTGTGAAGTTTCTCTCAGAACAATGAACAGGTTCTTACGTTTATCATCATCTTTTTCCAGCCATTTGGAAGTGATGCTCTGTGTAAAAGTTATGAATATCTTACCTGTTGTGGATAGCTTTCTGAAACACATCAGTTGGAGATTAATCTTAATCTAACAGCAACTTTGAATTAACAACTAGTCCAAAGGCTATGAACAGAATGTATTAGTGCAATTTTAAGAACCCCCCCTTCAGACTCTTAAGTGGTTCATGCAAATGCACTGCATAGATTATGCTGCTGCTTTTTCAATAACTGCACTAATGCCGTTCGAGTTTCCAGCAGGAATAGATACTTTTACTGATTCAAACGATTTTTCAAAACCAATCTGTTTAAAAGCCAAAAGAGAAAAGATTAATTTGTTTTAAGAGGATTTCTGGTTTCAGAGTTTTGTCTCCACTTTTTGCAAATGATGTGGTTCTGTTTGCATCTTCAAGTCGTGGTCTTTGTTGTAGCTGTGTGTAAAGCAGCCAGGATGTGAGTCAGCTCCTCCAAATCTGAGGTTATGGTTCTCAACAGGAGAACGGTGAAACTTGCCACAGAACTGCACTTCAAAAATGGCCAGAACATCCCTTTAAGCTAGAACATGTCTTAGTTTCCACCCCCTCCCTTATTTTTACAACCCAGTGCAGTCAGTCCAGTTCAATCATTAGGGTTTATACTTCAGTTTTGGAACAATATAAAACTAAAAAAAACAAGGCAAATATACATTCAAGAAATATATTAGAATTGGGTTTTTTGCAAACTTTACCTGAAAGCATATGATGTGAGGTACTGTTGCCAAGCCAACAACCAGTTGAGTCAATGATGGCTTACTTGTGTCATTAGTACCACTAAATGGGCACTGCCACTGATGTTATGAGTGATGGCAGACTGGATGGTACAGAAATTCAGTAATGCCTAAATTTAAAAACTATAAATATACAACAAAAGACAGCTTTTTAGATGTATGAAGGCAACTCTTAATGTTTTAACCTATGAAAACAACCTCTAGCTGTTGCACAGACATGCACCACATTTACCTTTTCCAGCTCTTCCTACAGAAATATTGTATGTAGGCTCTCCTCCCTGGCTCTTTGTCCTGATGTCCATCGTCCAGTCCCCGTCATCCTGAAGGCTGTCTCTAAGGACGGAACACTTCTTTGAGCCCAGAGTGAGACCGTTGGTGTAAAAAGTCTCCCGGTCCTTACCAACGAGGACGTCAATTTCATGAACCTGGTGGGAGAGGGGGGAAGCACACAGGCAGAGAGTTTAGTAAATGTCAGAAGCTTCACATGCATTTAGACATTTGTTACTTTGTGCTGAGGTCAACAAAGCTGCCAGATGTTCAATGCTTCAGTTGTGACAGGCTCATGTAGGATTTCTCTTTTTTCTTAAATTTCTTGGAGATACAAGTTTAAACAACAACAACCCCTTGTCACACAGATATTAACAAATGTGTATGGGGAGTGGTAGCACCGAGGTTAGAGAACGTGGGGCTGCAAGCGGAAGGTTGCCAGTTCAACTCCCCATACCAAAATCAAAATGTGGGTGAAACACCCCCACTCTCATTTGCCCCACTCTGGGCCCTTGACCCCACCATCTCCTCCCCTGGGGAGGCTGGCAGCTCTCTGCTCCACACGGAGCGCTGTGGTAGCTCGGTGGTCTGTGGTTGCATCAGGAAGGACATCCGGCGTAAAAACAAATCGCCAAGTCTTTGTGCGAGTTAGTTCAGTGGCCCCTGAAGACGGGAGCAGCCGAAAGAGGCAAATAATTTAACAAATGTATCCGTTCTAATTTTATCTGAACCAAGAATTATAACAAAAAGCAAACTGATTATTTAACAATTTAGCTGCTCTGAGGTTTAAAATGATGAGTAAGCCTTGTTATTTCTTTTAAATCTCACTTTGCTGCAATTTAATCCATTTGTCAAATAAAAAAGAGGTCTTTAAATGACAGCAGAATGTTATACTTGTGTCAGGTGCAGTTCTGTGAGAAACACAGACAGAATTTGTCGTTTTCAAACAAAGGTTTGGTAGAGACAGAAAAACGGGGATGAATGGGTGCTGCTGTCCGTTTCAGAAAAGCTCCGTTTCTATTAAAATCAGCTTAAAGCAAGAGGCGAACCGTGATGATGCAGGTCGACTCGGGCTGAGCTAGGCTAACCAGCGCCGGTCACTTTCGGCCACAGGTAGCCGGCGAACAAGCAGCTAAACTTTAGCTAATTGAAGCCGCCGCGCGCACAAAGCGTGCGCCAGACAGACTACAGATCACCGCTGCAGCACTGCACGAAAACACAGAATATTGCTGCCTACAGCAAAACAGCTCAGGCCCATCAGTAAGCCGGTGAAGTCCTGTCACACGAGGTTTAATCTCGAAACGTGTCCATAGAAGGCAGCAGAAACACAGGCCGCTAGTCCGGCGCTAATCTAGCTGCACCGTTAGCTCTGCGGTCATTAGAGCCCGAGGTGCAGGCAGGAGACAACCCCTTGAAAATGAAGACACAGGTTAATTATCTACAGAAGACTTCTCTTCTTACCGTAACGTTGTTGAAAATACCGCCGGGATGCGCTGCCCAAACATATTTAGCGTCAGTATAACCAACAATGGCGCTATCCTGACAGCTGCCATCGGCCATCAGGTTCTCCACGTAGCTTTGCCAAGACATACTCAAGAAATTGAAGCTTTTATATATATATTTTTTTTTTTTTTTTAAAGACTGAAGCTTTGAATGTATGTCTGGCAAAAAAAGAGACGGCCAAGAGGGAGGAAAGAGGTGCCTAAAGAAGAATTTAGAGTCTCCAATCGAACCCACACTCCGACGTTGACCAACGCGAAGACTGGGGCAGCAAAGAAAGCCAGGGCGGTGAGGCGGCGGCTGGGTGTAGTCCGGATCAGATCCCTCCGCACCATCAGCCGCCGCGCGCTTATATACGGCCGCGCGCGCGCCGCGGCGGGATTTATCAGCTATAGAGCAAGAGTCAGGTCTGAAGGTGCACATGTTCGAGAATATGTTTGAAGGCGACAAAGACTGTCACAGCAGGTGTCGTAGCGTTCTTCAGTGTGCGCATAATTCAGCACATTTAATATAGCGCAGGTGTTGAGCGACTGATGCTTAGCAAAATATTACTTTTTATTGTCTGTCCAAGCAGGTCTCACTTGTAAATGAGTGTTCGAGGCTCGATGTGATTTATCTGTTTAAAGGTTGAATGAATGAAAATTAGAAGGCTGACTAGAAGTTGCTCATATGACCAGGGTTGATTCTAGAATCTGACTTTTAGGGCTGCCCAGCCCCCTATTTATTTATTTATTAACCTTTATTTAACCAGGCAAATCCCATTGAGATCACAGATCTCTTTTGTAAGGGAGGCCTAGGCCTGAAGGCAGCCTAACATGCATGTTTTTGTTCTGTGGGAGGAAACCGGAATGGAGAAAACACGCAAGCATGAGAAAAACATGCAAGCTCCACACAGAAAGACCTCAGGTCCCACTGGGGATTGAACCCAGGACCTTCTTGCTGTGAGGCAACAGTGCTAACCACTGAGCCATCGTGCTGCCATAATTGCTCTTGGCTTGAACAATGCGGTGGCCCTTGGCATAAGAAGCATTTGTAATGTGGGGAGGACACACTGGTGGGGGTGTCTGGGGGTCCTTCCATCCATCCATTATCTTTACCCGTTTCTTCCTTCAGCTGGGGCAACAACACTATAGCTGTTCAAGAAAGCTCATCAGAGACTCTACTTCCTCAGGCGGCTGAGACGAGCTGGTCTGGGAAGCTCAGTCCTCACCTCCTTCTACAGGTGTGCAGTGGAGAGCATCCTGTGCTCCAGCATCAACGTGTGGCATGGAGGCTGCACAGCTGCAGAAAGAAAAGCTTTGCAGAGAGTGGTGAAGGCTGCACAGAAGAGTGTTGGAGTCAGTCTCCCCACCATCACAGACATCTACACCTCCAGATGCAGGAAGAGGGCCACCTGCATCATGAAGGACCCCACTCACCCAGCACACACACACTTTTTGCCCCGCTTCCCTCAGGAAGGAGTTTAAGGAGCATTAAGTGCAGAACCACTAGACTGAGGAACAGCTTCTACCCTGAAGCTGTTAGACTCATGAATCTCTAACGAGAATAATCACTGTGAAAAATCACATAATGCTGCTGCTGATCTGTTTCAATGTTGCTGCTGATCTGTTTCAATGTTGCTGTGTTCATTCGTACTCGTCTGCTCACACAGACTCATGTTTGTGCTGCTGTTTGGCATATTATTTTTATGCTACTAGTGTTTAGCGTATTTTTAGTTAATGTTTTTCTTAGTTCATATCTTAGATCTTATTACTGTTTTTTTTTTCTTCACATTTTATTGTTGGATGTAACTGGGACCCTGTGTATACAATTTTGTTACGACAATAAAGAAACTCTGACTCTGACGGTCGCGGGGGTCTCTGGTGCTCATCAATGTGAAAGAGGCAGGGGACACCCTGGACAGGTCTCCAGTTCATCACAGGGACACAGAGACAAACAACCATTCAATCTCTCACTCTCACCTAGGGACAATTTAGAGTTACCAATCAGACTAACATGCATATTTTTGGTTTGTGGGAGAAAACTGGAGTACCCGGAGAAAACTCACACGTGCATGGAGAGAACATGCAAACTCCACCCAAAGGCCCGCGGACCGGGTCTGGGGGACTTCCCCCAGCAATTGTTGATGCCATTTCCTGCATTCTGGTGTATTTTAACAGGTTGTTAAACATCTATGTTTACCAACATAAGTAAACACTTGATTCAATAACTATTTTAGAGAGCAACAAGAAGTAGTCTGACCAACAGCTCTCCTTGTGTGAATGGAGCACGCTCCGCTATTCTCAAGCATCGATACCCCCAGTTCCTAAAGGGCGTTTCATTTCAGGACAAATTGAGATCACTGATTGGTCCGTTGCTGACGAGCATTCTGGATTGATTGACAGGTGGGAAAAAAAATCATAGATTTTAATGGCCTTTTTAACAGTGTCATAATTTATTCCATATTCATTCAAAATTTATTCAATATTTGGTGAATCTAGGTATGAGAACATCCAGGTAGATATCTAAAAAAGTTAAGTCTGGTCCTCGGGACATTCAAAAAACAGAACAAAGCAAAAAAAAAAACAACAACAACAAAAATGTAGAAACGTTTCATCTTTCATCCGAAAGACTTCCTCAGTCTGAGGTGCTGTATTCAGCTCAGTCTCTTAAATAGCTCCTTCTCAGAGTGGATCAACCAGTTTTGTTGCTGACAACCAAAACCAGCTGATCACATGATCAAGAAGGACCATCAGCCTAACGATGGATCATTAGCACACTGATGGCTGTTTACTGTTCACAGAGGGCTGAGTGATTCTAGCAATCACAGCATTGTAAGAGGGGGACAGTTGAACCCGGAGGCCTCCACCCCTGTTTAATGATGGACGATTTCTTTTCACAAAGATGGCCTCCTTTACTCTTCTCTCAAACCATCGTTCCTCTCTGTCCAGGATGTGCACATCTTCATCCCTGAAAGAGTGACCGCTGGCCTGGAGATGTGTGTAGACCGCAGAGTCCTGGCCTGATGATGTTGATCTTCTGTGCTGGGCCATCCTTTTGGCCAGTGGCTGTTTAGTTTCCCCGATGTAAGACTGATCACCCTCCTGACACTGAACAACATACACAACATTACTCTGTTTGTGCCGGGGGACTGGATCTTTGGGATGAACCAGTCTTTGCCGTAATGTATTTTGGGGTTTAAAAGCCACTTGGACGTTATGTTTAGAAAATAAACATCTCAGTTTCTCTGATACTCCCTCAAAATACAGAATGACCACTGGTCTGGGTTCCTCCTTTTCACCTGATGGCTGACTGGAGTCCTGTTTGGGTTTCTTCTCTGCTTTCAGGAAGGCCCAGTTAGGATATCCACATTGCTCTAGAGCCTGTCTTGTGTGGGATTTCTCCTTCTGCCTGGCTCCTGAGTTAGTGGGGACGCTGTCTGCTCTGTGGTACAGAGTCCTGATGACTCCTAACTTGTGCTCCAAAGGGTGATGGGAGTCAAACTGCAAATACTGGTCTGTGTGGGTGGGTTTGCGGTACACCTCAGTTTGCAAATGTCCTCTATCAGAGACTGAGACCTCACAGTTCAAGAAAGCCAACCTGCCATTTTTTACATCTTCTCGTGTGAACTTGATGTATTTATCCACAGAGTTGATGTGGTCAGTAAAATGTTGGACTTCCTGAGATTTGATTTTAACCCAGGTGTCGTCAACATACCTGAACCAATGACTTGGTGGTGTCCCTGAAAAGGACGTCAAGGCTCTCTTTTCTACCTCCTCCATGTACAGGTTGGCAACAATAGGAGAAACTGGAGACCCCATAGCACACCCATGTTTCTGCCTATAATACTGCTCCCCATATGTGAAGTAGGTTGACTGCAGGCACAGTTTCAAGAGTTGACACAGTTGTTCTGTGGAAAGTGTGGTCCTGCTGCTCAGAGTGGTGTCTGATTTTAATCTTAAACTGACCACCTCTACTGCATCATCAACAGGAATGCACGTAAAGAGTGATGTGACATCAAAAGAGACCATTGTTTCATCAGTCTCCATGATGACATCCCTCACCTTATCCACAAAGTCCATGGTGTTCTGTATGTGGTGTTCTGAGCTGCCAACTAAAGGGATGAGTACAGACGCCAGATATTTGGAAACATTGTAAGTGACAGAGTTAATCATGCTAAC